TTCTCAAGAGACATTTAATTTATAATGTTATGATCATATTTCAAATCGGGCCTGTTTACAAGCATCCTTCTTGTGACAAACCATGCTGGTGCAAGTGGGACAAGGATGACTGACCAGGTGTTACAGAGTGCAAGACAAAGCAGTTTGGCCAAAGAGATGAAGTACATGAACTGATTAAGATTAAGCCTGAATTGAGTGCCATGAGGTCCAATCGCTATACAGGGTACCTTTCCTAGTTTTTCATTTTCCACCTCCGTCATATGTGAAAGACAGATTCCATAATTAATTAGAGTTAAAACACATTTCCCACAGCTCCCAAGTCAATACAGACAAAGGTGAACACGCAAACCCCACACAGATGGTGTGTCCCAGTCTATAATTCCACCCGGGACACAAGACTTGTTAGGCATCAGTGTGAGCCACCGCACAGCCCACTCATTGGCCAGCCCTAGACAGACTACAAATCTGCTGCTGACACAGCACTAAAAGCCCCCTCTCTGTTCTACTCATGCTGCATTAGGCAAGCAGTGAAGCAGGAGGTGATCCAAGAGTCCCTGTGAGATCATACCCTGGTACTCAACCAAGTGAGCAAATCTCAGGCTCCCCTGGTCTGCACACAGCCTCTCCCTGTTCTCTGGGCTGCTTCGTTCTTTCTCTAATAAGAGGTGCTCTTTGCTGGTGCAGCATTCTGAACGTTCCGCAAGGTCTGCAGCCCCAAAGCACAGTTAGCTCATTTCCCCTCCGAGTGTCTCCAGTGAGCGCTCACCGCCGTGCCAGATCCTAGCCAGCCACTGGCCAGCTCATAACACAAACCACCATGTGCAGCGCACCATTTTCCTTGTTACAGCAGAGTGTGACCTACTGTACACAACATTTGCCCTTTAATCTGTAGGATCTGAGATTCTAGGAAAATGTGAAAAACGCCTCAGGCGTTGGCGCTGCAGATGGGTGGTGGGAGGTGTGTAAAATGTGGGTGGCAGCCCACTTGGCTGAAGGATGTTTGTCTGTACACAGTGGCAAGGCAGTTGCGCCCAACCGCCCAGACCAAGAAGAGCAAGCTGGGGGGTATTTGCCTTGCGGGGGGAGATGAAAGCAAAGAAAAACAGAAAAGGACGGGAAGTTCAATTTGTGTTTAATGGGTTATCTTGTCACCAGCATATGTTTGGACAACATGTATGGTTTGAGCTGGCAGGCCTGTGACTTTGCTATCACTCTTCTTTAACCATTTGGATTGCAACCTCAGGCAAAAAAGGCAATCTGTTTAATTCACACCGGGACAAAGATCAACAGCTCACCCGTGGTAGAGCTGTTGTTCTATAGTTTTCACGCAAATCTGATAGACTTGCATCTTGTGATGTTTTCATCTGCCTTCTGCATCAGGCCCCAATCGATGTGCAAGCCTGCATTAAGAGATACCAGTAAGGCTTTTGCTTGCTCCATTTTATGCTAGGTGCTTTGTCACACAGCTGCGTATGGTCTCCACGTCAAGGTATTTAAGTTTTCGGTGTGGCAGAGATTCCTGGAGGTTAAGCACCTTCTCCATGGAAATTTGGAAGTTCAATCCAGTTAAGCACCTCTCTGGAGTGGCACACCTGGAAAATGTGGTTCTAAATCCCAGCTCAGTCATATGTCTGATGGGTTGATGTCCCAAGGGAGGAATACAGATGATAAATGGGTGCTACTACCATACTTAAGGCAACCTCCTAATAGGAGAGAACAGGGCTGCCATCCTGGTTCCTGAAACTGAGGAGGAAGAGCGGTAACCAAACTTTTACAGATCAAAACAGAGTCCCCCTGTTAATTAGAAAAGAATGCCCCTCCCCCCACTGCTTTTAGCCTTGGAACGATACACAGTCCTAGTAGCCAGGCGGTGATGGAGAAGCCAACTCCCTGGACTTAAGTATGCCTCATTCTTGGCTTCTACACACAGATTTTATAATTGTAAGAGCCAAGAGGCCTGGCATGTCTGGTTTCCCTTTTAAAGAGGTAGCAGGCACTGTTTTATTTTCCGAAAGGCGCACACGATGGTGTACATCCCAATGACACGTCTTTCCAGCCCCGTGACCCAGGAAATACTGCCAGATTGCATGGTGCCACATCAAAACCAACCCCATGCTCTCCCCCTGAAAATATTTTTTTTTTTCCGACGGCGATTACTGTGCCGATACATTTGCTTACGGTTATATGAAAATGTTTTTGTGTGAAAATTTCCGTATGGCCTATTCAACTCTTATCAGGAGATACAACAACTATAAATAACCAGTTAATTCCTAGGTGAAGTAACGCTACATTATTTTTTATGCATTGGTTGACACATTAACCAGCCTGAACAGCTGTGCAGAGTCTGCTCTCTAACTAATGAGAAGATTCAGCATTTATGCAGCAAAGTTACTCAAGTGTATTAGCAGTTATGCATTGGTTGACACATTAACCAGTTAATAAATAAAGGCTTGGGCTCTCAAATTAATAACCATTGTATCTTAAATACAAGCCGTTATTACACACAAGCACCAGGAGTTGATGACTTGTTGTTCTGGAATGTTGTCGCATCAGGTAGAAGGACATGCCAGGAGCTGATCAATGTTTCACCATGCAGTCAGGTTGTACCAGAGCTGTTTCTCCATCATAACAAGTCACCGAGGCATCGTTCTGATAAGGAGCACATACCGGTTCCTTTCTGCGTCTGCCTTTCGTGATTTCAACCAGATTTGATATTCAACAGGTTACATTGCCTGAACAGCTGTGCAGTCTGCTCTCTAACTAATGAGAAGATTCAGCATTTATGCAGCAAAGTGTATTAGCAGTGGTGAACAACTAATCAAAATCAAATAAAAAAAATCTCTAATTTCTTAAAATAACTTTTTTTTCTCAAAACATACTGTATATGCTTAAACAGAGTAAAGTTTCCTTTGATGCTCAGTATATACCAATATTCAAATATTATTTTGCTGGCAGGTTTAGCTAAAAAAATGCTATTTTACAGTGTAGAATGGAGCAGCACAGTGGTTTCTATTGCTGCCTCACAGTGTTAGGGCCCTGGGTTCAATTCCTAGGATGTTATCTGTGTGGAGTTTGTAAGTTTTCCCAGTTTTTGTGGGGGTTGTCTCCCGGTGCTCCAATTTCCTCCCACAGGAAGAAAACTTGATTTGTTGATTAAATAATACATTTCTATTAACTAGTAGAAATCATTCTTACACAGAGATATATGGCTGTAATTGATTTTGCCAGAACAAAAACTGCTAGAATGGTTAGATATTTTTTTCCCATCTTTTTTTCAAACATTTTCGAGCTTGCACACTTAAATTGTGAACTTCGGTGTGTTTGTTGCATTTGAGAAAAATAAAAGTTCTGGTTTTAGACTTTGCCAGAGCAAAAAATCTGAAGGTGTAGTCAGATATGAAATACCTTTTTATGAAAAAATATTTTTTTTCTTGTGTGAGCTCCTGTTGTTTGATGCATTTTGGAAAAATACAAGTTTAAAACTAGATTTGCATTAAACAAGCATGACTAAGGTTTTTATTTGCAAAAAAAGTATCTAAAATAATTCATGTTGTTTAACCAAAACATTTGATTCCGTTTTTTCCCAATCATATCGAATTTCCAAACAAAGCTTTCCATTACACTTCCAGCCAGTTCCATTGCCGTTGTTTGTTGTTTGCTTTGGCTACAGCTGGGATAGACCAGACCTGCGTGTCCAGGGAGTCAGTATTCTCCTTTTCGTCTTTTACATTTAGCACTGGCCACAGGACCTTGGCATGTCTGAGAGCAAACACTGGTCTCTGAAGAATTACAGTTGCTCACATCACTGGCAGTTTTTTCCCCCCATTCTCTCCTTATTTTGCTGTACTCATTGGCTAGACCGAGTGCAGACAAAAATCAGACTCTGACCAACACCCTAATGTGAAGCACATGCGATTTCCCCTGTAGTCACGACAGACTTAGAGAAGTCTGTTCAGGATAAACGCATGTTGAAACAACCTCAACAGAACAAAGCAGAGTTTACTGTTGATTCAAAGCCCTGGCATTTTAAATTAACAGCCCCTGTCCCATCCAAAATAAAGTTGTCCAATTTGAAATGTGGGTACATTTGTACATTTAGTTGAAAAACCAAACCTCCTGTGTTGACTATCTGACTATATGTCTGCCTCTATTGTTTTCTTGGTGCTTTACCTCCAAGTCAAGACTGCTCTTTCTAATATCTAATATGACAACCCTCTGTGTCGATCCAAAATGCACATATGTCTTTTACAAAAGATAGAGATGGGCTGGAATTCCATCAGCTTTGTAGTTTATATGTCAAGTATAATCTCTAATAAGACGCTGGGGTAACTGAAACTGAAGAGCATACTGTAGGTACATCTGAGGTCTTCTGAAAGGCATGTGTATCTGATTCAGTAGGTTGATGCCTACGTCTTAATTTCATAACAGTTCCAAGCAGAAAACATTTATTCGGAAGCAGAGAGTAGGCTATTTCCTTTTTTAAAAAAACTTTTTATTCCATGTGCTGAAAAGTATTTTACAGTTTAATGTGCTAGAAACGAAATACTGCAAGTAATGGCTCTCAGAACCAGTGCCATTTCCCACAAAGTGTCAGGTACCTGAGAAAAGTGATATTTCAAGGACAATGCCAAAACTGATGAAGGTCTTAGAATTTAAGAGTAGAATTTAAACTTTGTACTATCAAACACTGTCTCTGCAAATGTAGCTTTATAACAGTCATTTAGTGAATGCAACAGTGTTGCATATTTAAAAGAAAAAAAGTGTGTTGAATGACTGATTTAAATACAATTTTACATCATTTACCATTAACAAAAACACTAAAACAAATTAACAAAGCAAATGCCAGCATAATAGCAGTAAATTTAGTGGCACCACACAACACCTTGGAATGACGTTAAAAAATTGCTTCAAGTATTCAAAATCATCGAGGGCATTGATTAAATCAACCCACCTGACGTCTTCAGAATGAACACTGAAATAAGACCCAGAGGACACAAAGAGAAACTATAGATAATTGTATTTAAAGATGAGAACAGGACGCACTTCATTATCCCAAGGGTTGTGGGACTGTGGAACATGTTTCCCACCATGTTGTTGAAACTGATACTTCGCCTTCTTTCAAGAAACAGCTGAATGAGATCCTTGGATCAATCAGTACCAAATTGGTTAGGTAGGTCAAATGCAAAATTTCCAATGAAAAACCATTTGTCATACTCTTGCTCAAGCAAATACTTTTTACGGGAAATCTGGCAGTTGGCTCACAGCAGTTTGGTCCATTTAGGTTTTACAAGCTGTAGGCTGAAATACAAATCACACAGCCAAAGCAGAAAAGCAAACTGTTTTATAAATACACAGTATATTTATTAAATATACCATAATAATTCAACATCTTTCTGCAGTATAACTTATAAAATGTATTATTGAGAGATCTATTCAGAAACTTACATCAGCTTTTATGGAAGCCTGTAGTTTGTAAATACATTTTAAATGGTTCAATATGCTGTGTGATCAGTTTTAGTTTCATCCCAGATATAATTAATAAACATATATATCCATGAATGTGCATCATCCATAAACTAACATCCTGTTATACCTGGGGCAATATCTTGATCAATATATTCTGTACTGAAATTCTTTCACACAACTGTTTCTTTCCCTCTGTAGGAGGCAGATTTAAATTTTCTGTAATGTGCAAGCTCTGTAAAGAGAGCCGTTTTCATAAAAACCAAATCATGAATCTTAAGAACATGCCTAGATGAATACTAAAGCAGGCTAACCAGGACATAGTACCCTTTTACTGAAGAGGGTCAACAAATGTAGCTTTGTTCCCCTGGGGTTAAATAGATTGAGGACATACACTGGTTATACCTGCAGAGGATCCGGATAAGCTCTTCAGTAAATACACATCCATCCTTGTTTCTCTTTTGTTGGATTAACCTGGTCAGTAGAGCATTGAAGCATGAATCTAAAAAGTTTAGTGTTTTTGGAGTTTTCAAGTATTGTTGAATGAAAGCTCTGAAGAAATGCATACCAATGTCATGCTGAACCAGCGTCTGTCTGCAGTCTTAGGGTCTGAATTAGGATTCGTGCTGTTTGAACAGAGGGACCGTCACTGTGGGCAGTACCTGGTTCTGGAAGACAAAGATCTTGACTCTCTCAAAGATCCAGAGGAAAATGAGAAGGATGCTGACATACTGGACCCAGGCAAACTTGATCATTTCCCAGAAGCCAGGCTGATATGTATATACGTTAAAGATCAAACATCATCATAAAACTTTGTGGTATAGTTTTTGAGTCTTTACAAATCTCTAATTACTCTTTTTTCAATGTGAAAGCAAATAAAGATGGAACATAAAACAAATAGCAAGGGAACTGAAATCCCAGAACACACTTCCCAACTTCCAGTTAAAAAACACTGAAATTATTACAAGCAGGGTGACAACTATTACAGTTAAATAAAAGATGAATAGAGCCATTGATAAATCAAAAAAACCTCAACAAACATCTTACGAGTGATGTGATGTTCCCCTCAAGATGTTTTTACCTTAAGTCTGGAGGCACGGTGTGGACTGTTCTAAATAAATCTGCATGAGACCTTAGAATACAGCTGATGGTTTTTATGCTGAGACACAGTAAAGGATATGTGATGATCTCCACGGGGTATCTGATGACTGCATTTATTTCAAAGGGTGCACCGGCAGCTCGGCCCAAAACCCACACAGGGCTGGGGTTTGACAGCACGGTGGAAACTGTCCAAAAAGGCAATGTCAGTGGAAGAACCTGCACAGTGTCACAGGGGCATGACTGGCCAAAAGCCACTGGATTAGTTGTGTCTAAAATGCGGTATATATTTGATAGACTGATACTTTATTATCCAGAAGGAAATGTGGTTTGCATGGCAAAGTCCCAGAGAACATTTACCATAAGAAGAATTCTAACACTATGTGTCACAAACACAGAGTACCACAATGCATTGAGCTACACAACACACACAAACAAAATCATTAATATATGCAATACAGCACGAAAAAGAACATTTAATTTTCTGGTTAAAAAAAAAGAATTAATGTAAAACTGTGAAACTAGTGTTCAGGAGATGAAAACAAAAAACACCAATAAAAGATAATAAACAATAACAGTTTAAAAATGCTTAATAGCTGTTACACAGCAACATAAACCTGTATTTATTTTAAGCAGCTTGTATTTTTATATTTTACTGTTTTGAGTTTTTTTACAGAAATCATGAAGTCTTCTGACACATTTATGTTATTTAATTTTTTGGTTTCTACCCATAGAACTGCCCAGTATTAAAAGTAATATATCTTCCACACTTCCACTTACCATTTCTTTCCTGATATGAGCCAATGATGTTAGTCAGATCATAGGCACTTGCAAAGGGGCTGTTTCCATTGATAACAGAAACCTGCAAAAGAATAGGAAGCTGTATTTTTATAGTGTCATGCAAGGAAAATAAATACTATCACAGGAGGAGCAGGTGAGCATTACACACAGCAAAACAACTTACTGCTCCACCCCAGACCAGGAAAGGCTTTTTTCCAGTCCTTTCCTCCAGAGAGCACTGGATGTAGGCCATGCTTCTTTAGAGACAAAGTAACCCACTTGATTTAGAGCGTCCCAATTCTTTTTTCTTTTTAATGTGAAGTGTCATGGCTCTATTTCATGGCACCAATTACAAAAAAGTGATTCAAGACTGAAAACAGCGGGCATGTCTTTATGCAGAGTGCGGGAGGTGTCTGAAACAAGCTGCTCAGACCGTGCTGTGGAAGTCAGCTCCCTCGGATCCTTCAAAAAGCAACCAGATGGGAGTCTCAGGTCAATACATTTCTAGCAACTAGATGTTCATGACAAGCAGAACAGTCTCTGCTCGTGTGTAACATTGCTTTTATGTATAAAGAAATATGATTTTTTTGTTAAAGAGGAATCATAGAAAAACTGACAGAAGAAAAAAAGAGGTCTTCATTGGAGATCACAGCGCAGCCCCATACTGTCAAAATACTGTCAAAAGCAGTATGGGGAAAAATCTGTCAAACAAAATAGTTCTTCTATTGAACCAACCCTGATTTCATGCTGGACCAACTCTGTGTCCATGCTGATGTACCTGCCATCATCAGTGTAACCAGGACCCAAGGCGTTTGCCTGTGGGAATGCACCCTGTCAAACATATAATGTTTTAGAATGGTTTTACTTTTATAGAATAACTTAGAACAAGTATTAGCCATCTGGAATGCAGACATTTCCCAGATTACTTAAAAAACAGCACACATGAGCTAATTCTTACATTATAGGTGGTGTCAAGACCTCTGTGCTTCAGTGGCTGCCTTTGCTGCAGTTTGAGGTCCCCACTGACAAAAAGTTGAGACCCTGGAACAGACGAGGAGTGCTGGATGTAGGCCATGCTCTGCATGATGAAGGTGGACATCCTCTAAAACACAAGCAGGCAATCTTTTACTCTAGTGGTTCATTTCAAGCAGGCTGCTAAACTGACATACACAGTGGCTGTACAGTGGGCTCAACAATTATTGGCACCCTTGAAAAAAAGACTAACATAGATAGCCATATAAAATAAACAGCACAGATAATGAGCTGTATTTTATAAAACCCCCAAAACGGGAAAACTACAAGCTTTTTTTTCTAATACATTTATTTCAAAACAAATGTTTTTAAATGAGTAATACTATTTTTTTCCTCAAAAACATAGGTGTTAAAATGATTCGATCCCCAGTTGCTAGTTCTTGATGCAACGTACTCTGGCACGGGTAACAGCACAAAGCCTTTTCCTATAATGTTTAATAAGGCTGGAGACCGTTCTTCTTATGCAGGAAGTCTCCAGGTGCTGATGTCCTTGGATTGATTCTTACAGGCTTCCCTCTTCTGCCCCCAGTTTAGAAAAGACAAGACGAGACCTAAATAGCTGTTGAAAGAGTGAAAGCACCAGGTGTGGGTGACTTACGAAGAGCTTGTAGGAGAAGGTGAGAATGAGCTGAACGCTGTACACCGGCTCGCTCTGCCGCAGTGGGAGCGCCAGACGAAGGTTCAGCTGGTCAAACTTCCCATCCTGATTCCGGTCTTCCTCTCTGGCCTGACGACACCGGGGACAAGTTACCTCCCTGCCGAGCTAGGCTGCACCCCGGTCCACCCCTTGCGAGATTTGACAAAAACTCCCCCAACCAAAAATACCTGGTAAATTTCAGCAAAGAAAAGCTTGATTTTTTTTTTAGATTATAATGTACAAACACTGTAATTGCAACTTCGCTGTTTCCTGGGACAGGACTGTCCTCCTTCTGTCCGCTTTGAAGAGGCCAAATCCATAACCTCATTCAACACATGTTGAGCGAATGGCTTATTGATCAGTAATTTCCCTCAGTAGTGGAACTCCATCCATTCACAAGTGTTCAACGAGATCACTCTAACACTCTTACTTTTCTAAGAATGTAAATATCTGACACTCTCGATCACACGCAGGCATTAGGAAATAACCTGAATAACTATGTTTTTAACTTTCACCAAGGCTATGAAGGATCAGAGGGGAGGATACTCACTGATATTGAAGGGATTCTGAGGTTGCCACCCTGCAGATTGTTGAAATTTTGAAATGTGCTCCAGGCTACATAGTCTCCACTGGTGCTGGTTGCAGCAATTAACAGCACCTGGTACTGGAACGTGATGCTGGGTTGCTCCTCATACGTGCTGGACTTTGTCCAGAAACCTGTAAATAAAATGAGAAATAAAGTCTCTTTCCGATCAGAAGATCTCCTAGAGATAAGGACGTTCTATAAATGCCACCAAAGTGGAACTGGGTACCAGATCATACACTAAAGTTGAAGAGACAAAATCGTTTTTTTCTTACAGTCATGATAAACTCTCAAGGACGAAAGATAGTTATAAAAAGAACTGCGTGCAAACCTCGCTTTGCATATCAGTCTACTTGTTGTACCGTGGCATTGAGTTCTTGGCATCTGTGTAACTAAGGTATTGAACAATACAATAGTCGCACGGTAAAACGGTATTCGCTACATAATAATGTTAGTTTCTAAAAAAGCACAAGATCATGTCACAAGATCAAGTGCCTTGGGACAACCTTGTTGTGAAAGGCGCTATATTAAAATGAATTGAATTGAACGTCCGTGTAGTACTGACAGGGCCACAATAGACATAGTCGAAGCTACATCGCGGCTGTCTTTGAAAACAACACTGCTGGAAGAGGCAGGCTGGACAGACAGTAACCATTCATCAAAACAACAGTCAAAACCTCAGCATAACGCTGTGCTTACCTTGGCTTCTGTAAGCCACCAGCAAAGGAGAGATGTAGGTGAGACACAGGACGATTATTAGGAAAAGCGTGGCTTTGGTGCAGATACTGGTCTTGTACCTCAGTAAAGCAGGGTGGGAGTAAACTTCATAAATGGCCATGGAAGATCGAAACGTGTTCGTAAAAAAGCAAAATAAAAAAGGGGTCGCCTTTGAAACTAGCTAAACTTTATTCCACAGACTTTCCGTTCGTTCGCCTTTAAATCACAGCGATGAGATGAGCGGGGTTGTTGCACTCGGAACATAAATAGTTTGTCGAGTCAAGAAGGCTCCTTGATTTTTCTTAAATATCGAAATTCGCAAAAGCTCAAAAACTAGTAAGCCACCCCGCCCCCAAAGTATTAGCGTTCTGACTATTTCTAAAAAACGCAACAATACAGATCCCTTCCAAAATCGTGAAGCTGAAACTGAAGGCCGCACTCTTTTCACGCACTTCCTGAAGTTTGGCGTCTGCGGGTTTCCATAGCCCCCCTGTTCCCTAGCAACCGGCGGCGTTTTTTTCCCCCCACTACCCGGATGCAGCAAGAGAGGCTAGAAATATTCTACTGTATTTATCCTCACGGGCAAACCCAGCTGGAGTAATTTAAATACCAGACCTCCGTAGCCCATCCAAAATATTATCTTAATATTACGTTAACGCCACAGTTGTTCCGACTTTCTTCGCTTTATTTTGAAAGAACAACAGAATTTGACACCCGAATTCCTGTTGGTGTAAATGAATCAGGGGATTGGCATGTTAACGGTTACAGAAACGCTTGCAATTCCCCAGAGCGGTGCTCCCCTAAATACAAGAAATACGGGACCTTTGAGTATCACGCGATATTAGTCACAGCCCTATCGAGTTTTATGCCGTGCTCCTACCAGCCTGTAATCTATTTTTAGGGATATTTGTAGAGGCGATCTCGGGGGCTGTGGTTGTGTACATTAGCTCAGCTTTCAGGGAACCCAGAAGCCGACCTATGGGAGCTATCTTTTCTGAGCTAATTCGTGCCAGCCTATTCATATTTTGTGCCTTTAACGACATTTCCCTTACCGATATTAAAACAATCATTAGGAAAGCCCCCCAACTATCTACATCCCATCCCATATGAACCCCCCCAGTCCCACCAGAAGCATCAACGTTTATATATAGAAGCGATACTACACGGTAGTAGCATCTTTATGGATTGTACTATTTCGTCACTACAGGCAATATATGCAATCTCTGATGAATACAACAATTTGGTTGTGTTCCACAGATTATATCAATTTCGGGTAAAATATTATTCTGGTGAGTGTATCAATAATGATAAACTAAGTGTATCCCCATCATTTAAAACCGTTACCCCTCCGGGTTGCCAAATGGATCCATCCGGCGGTGACGTCATCGCAGGGCTGGACTCCGAAGGCTAACCTTGTTTTGTTACATTGTTGCTGTAATAGTTTACCCCCTTTTGTTTGTAAAGAAACCGAAAAAATAACCCATAAACGAAACCGTTGTTCTCTTTTTCTTTTTCTAAGCAAAATAAGCGCCATTTGGAAGTTGCCAAAATGAAATGGATGTTTAAAGAAGACCATTCCCTAGGTAAGAGGTTTTGTAGTAGACGGGGGAAATGCTGTGTTATGGTGATGTTTGCTTTCGCTTTCTCAGGCCACTGTGAGGATGGCTTTGCCGTGTCAGGGCCTGGAAAAAGGGTGACCTGCGCAGAATGTTTTTTTTTCCCCTTTTACGGGTTTTAATTGTTTTTCGGATTACGTCATACGTGTCTGACAGCACATTTTCTTCATATCAGAACACATTCGGGTATTTGGGGATTTTCTCTGGGGTGGGGAGGAGCTGACCGTAATATCTGGGTGTTGTTTTCTTCTGCAAAGACTGTATTTTGACGACCACGGGACAGCACTCGTTTGTGTCGCTTTGCTAAGGACGTGACAACCGGCACATTTCGCCCATTCCAGCCTTTCAGACGAGAAACAACCAGAAGCTCGAAACTGTGGTTGATGTTGAGATATTTTCTGTCCCGTCAGTCTTCCTTAAATTCAAATCTAAAAACCGAAAGCAGCCAGGACGTTTCACATCTCATCAATACGGTACAAGACCCAGGTATTAATTTCTCGGTCTAACCAGACGCATACCATGAACTCTGCAGGGTAGTACTTTCTAGAGTAACAAACAGAAGTGTTTTAGAAATGACACTTCAGTTATTAACAGTATTGACTGTGGTCAGATAGATATGACTGCAGGCGTTGTTTTTTTTACAAAGCCCTGTCATTAACTAGGGCAAAGACTGCGGTCCCTTTCAACACACGAACCTGGGCCAAAATCTCTAAACGACCTTAGGGCTAAACTGGTTTTTGAGGCCTTTAGTGACGTCATATTGTAATATTTATAACTAAGAATAATAGTTGTGTATATATATATATGTCGAACCTTTTCAAAGGGCTGTATCGCCCTCACAGTGTAGTCAACAGTGATGTCTGCATAAGAGGTTTGAAACGAGAGAGGCCATTTGCCTGATCTAGCTGGTTTGGCTACCAGTAGCAAATTGATCACGTGATCTCACCCAGCCCCTTCTTTAAAGAAGCCGAACATCGGGTACCTTGTCCCAGACCCCCGACACCCCCACGACAGCACATTGCGTTACTGGTTAATCATGGAATTGTTAAACGCAGCAAGAAAGGCAAACGGCTCTGTGCTGTGATCCATGAAGAGTGGCAGTTTTAGTAGGTTTGGCTATTATTTCAGCACCGACACTGTGAAGGTTTGAGCAAAATGATAGATTCCCCGTGTTAAGAAGGTTTAAAACGAGTTTAATAATTGCAAAGGCATTAATACCTTTGCAAAATTCTATTAAAAGTAAGAGTGTTTTCTTGTGGGGATAAGCATTGCTAAGTGACACGATCTGATATGTGTAAAAGGGAAAACATTAACATTGACAGTAGTCTATATTTTTTTGTGTGCGGGTCAGGAGAGAGGCTAGTCTTTGTGTGTTTATCCACTGTGGTTCATTCGAGACATTCTCATTGCAGCAGAACAAAAAGTTCTTGTTTCAGATCAGCAAAAGCATAATCTGCTTGGATTAGTTTTCTTTCGGGCAGCTCAGAGATTAATCTGATGTCCACATTTTAGATCACTCTTTGTTCTAGAATATTTAATGCAGTCAATTCCTTCCTGTATGATCTATTAATGTCTTCTAAGTTCACAAAATGAAGAAGCTATTTTTTTTTATCAGATCCCTATGACTTGAAGTACTAGTTGCAACTAGTGGGTTACATTTTCAATTCAATTGCAATTAATAGTTGCCATTGTATTTATACTGACCTACAAGAAACACTTGAGTTCTGGTTGATTTATAGGTGGTCATAAGTGGTCCGCTGGCCTGGTTGTATAGTGACAATTGAAGCACTTCAAATGAAATCTGTATCTAATTGCAGAACATATCTTAAATGGTGTGAAGAATCCACTGCATGAATATGATTTGGGAAAATATCCCCTTTATATAGAGTTCATAAATAGGTCAATTTGAATTATTCCCAGCCCTGAATTCATGAAGGGCATTTAACAGAAGATGCCTAACTTTCACCAAAATAAATTTACATCGTGATAAAATGAAATATCAGTCATGTATTGTATCTTTCCGACACAGCACCTCATTCATGTGACTGTGATGATTATCTCTAGAAGAGCAGTAATTTAGTGCAAGTAAAAATATTCACAGTTGTGCAATGTGTCTTCATTTTTAGCTTGCTAAGTATTTTTATTTGCACATTCAACCATTTCTGTCTGGGCATATGTATCACACCAGAGAGTTATGTGGACTTGTATTTTGTTGGCATTACAGGGCTGCACGTTCAGTTAATTACAATTGGCAATTTGCACTCACAGTACTAGTGTACAAGTGTAAAAGGGTTATTAGGGTAAAAATCAATGCAGTGCTGCTTAGATCAATGAACAGCTCAATGCTGTCTGAGGTGGGTATTCATCACACAAACACGCAGGTATGCAAGTGGGTTTTAACTGCTTGCAATGCACAGGCTTTTATCAGTTTAATCAGATATCCATTTGCTACTGTACGGTAGGAACAAGTTAGAAATTAGCAACCGTTTTATCTACATTCCAGTTTGATTAAAAGTTCTGAGAGGATGTCTTCAGGTTTCCCTTAAACCCCTCATGTCATATTAGTCCACGTTTTTGTTTTTTTACAAATTAATCATTCTGCTGCATTTTGGCTCCATTAGAGGGAGTCTCTGAAAGGAAGCTTAAACATTATTATTGCTAAATTGGCTGCCAGCTTTATCCAAGGTGACTTAAACCTAACAATACAATTGCATTGATCACAGTGGAACAGCAGATACAAACTGCACAAGGGGAAGAAATCGGTTTTAAGTAGGGGGTCTAAGAGAAAGAGGATACTATGGAAATCTAATGTAACTTTAGTGAAATAGAACCAGGATTACAGTTACAGTGTTAGAACTATTTGAGATAATGGGTTGCACTAAGCCCGGACACAATGAATCGATGCAATGGCTTCTGGTTTGCTTGTGCAAGGGGTGCTTTCACATTTCTCCCTGAGACATTGTTGAAAAACTGGGATAGTCGAATGTGCTCTAGACCAGGGGCAAGGTGAATGGTCCCTGAAAAAGTGCTCATCGGACTGCTGACTCCAGGTAAAGTCCTCTCTGTGTCCTGACCTGCTTTCTTTCTCCTTGTGTTTAAGAAGTCCAGGTGGGCTTGGGTGTGGGTTTTTCCCACGAAAGGGAGCTGACAAGCAGTGGATCAAAGTGGCTCAATGCAACGTGCTGGTGTGTCCTGGGCTTTCGTAGAGTGAAAACTGAAGAGAGAAGATTTTAATTATCAATAGTTTAATTCCCTTGTGGTTTCTGATGCCATACTTGTGTTATCTAATCAAATCAAAGTTTATTTATCAAATGCACAACAATACGGCGTGCAGCAGTAGTTGCTGGCAATGAAATGTCTTTTTCTGTGAGCTCACAAAAATCACAAGAATCACAAAAACACAAAAATCACAAAATTGAGGTTACATTTTTGAAATTGAATAAAACTCAATGTGAGTAGAGCTGTTATGTGTCCATGGTGTGTGCAATATATACATGTAGTGCAGTTATGCTGAATATAGTGAGAGTTATGCTGAATATTGTTATCATGCACCATGACAAAATGTGCACAGTATTTTCTCACTTGTGCTGTGGTTTTACCTAAGTGCTGCTATGACTCTTTTTGTGCTTTGCTATATTTGTCTATAGGAAAACCATAGTGGAACAGAGTAACCATTTCTTAGAAACTTGTAATTCATAAACCCATTAAAATACCCTGCAAAACAGTGATAAAACAGGTCAAAGTGTGAAAGTACATCATGATACATTTTCAGGATACTGTACATGCAGAAAAAGCTTGATAATCACAGCAGATATGATTAAGCTTCAAGGCATGCTTATTTGTGCTGCCATACTAAACATACAGTAGGTTTCAGCCTAATTTCCTTGTACCCTCTTTACCATTTGAGTCAGCTGAGCTGCCTGTTTTCTTCCTCTTTGCTCAGATGCTGAATTCTCAAACATGGGCTTTAAGTTGGTTGAGGTCAACAGATCAAGTGTCAAACATGTGGATACTGAGCATGTCAGGCTGGGCTGGGCTGGGCCTGGACACCTGCTAAAGTGTATTTGTTTACAGTGTTACACGTGGCTCCAGACCACTGTCTCCTGATGTCTACAAAACAGAGCATTTAGCAGCTTTATATAATAAAGCTTCAGCAGTTATATATCTGTTTCTTTGCAGCAGAAAACTGTTCTGTTGAAACCTGGCCCTCCAGGGCCTCCTGTAGATTAAGTGAACACCTGCTGGAATGAATAAAAAAACATTCCTAGTAATTTTAAACTCCTAAAAATATTCAGGTTTCAGTTGGGTTATAAAATGCCCACTTGAAATTAACAACATCTTGGGCCCCAAGATGTTTAATTGTGCAGTTTTCATTAGTTGATTCAATGATGCAGAAGCATAACGGAGAACTCCTTCAAAATGAAAGAGTCTTCAGAAGCAGCTTTGAGAAACTCGACACGGGAGAATATTAAGAATCTTTCACGCTGAGTAACAGCCATGAGGTCATTCACGCCTGGTGACATAAATAGTTTATACATAGGATGTAATTTTAAAGCAGTAGATAAGAAGCAGTAAAATGATTTGCAGAGTTGAAATGTGCATTTTTTTACACTACCATTTACCTCTCTAGTATTTTTATCAGGGCGGACACACATACAGGAGGCAGTTGAGAGACTCATGTTAACCTAATCAGCATGAATTTGGACAGTTGCACTTGCAGAACATCCAAACTCCACACAGGCAGCACCAAAACAGAAAACAGAACCCTGGAGCTGTCACACAACCGCCATGCTGCTCTGGGAGAACACTAATTGATGTTGTTTCTGTTAAACCTCTAAACTTCAATATTATATTTGTCATATGTGTGCAGTTCCCAGTTCTTTTCTGGGCAAGCATTAATACAGTAGGAATATCAGACAATTATGAGATTGACATACTTCCCACCTTGTTATTTGAAAATGTCAAAGGGATTATTTATTTTCAAGAAATCCCTTTTATTTATTATACACAAACCCAATTTGGAGCGGTCAGTTGTGTTAAGATCTGGATCTCTGATAACGACCGCGGTGCCCACTCGGGACAGCTGTTCCTCACTTGAGAAGCTACAAGTTCCATAGTAGACAGGATAGCGCTGACTGGATGAACATGTCTCCCACTGACATCACTGTAAAACTAGAGGCGCTTGGCCAGCTGCTGGAGTTAATCCCTGCCCTGCCCTGCCCTCCTGGAGGCTGTCCACTTTTGTGACACGACGAAGGCTCGAACCTGGAGCATTGTGGCCATTGAACTAAACAAGTTCAGAGCAAGCACCTTAGCTGGTTGAGCTGCTCGGGACTCCCCACAGCGATTGCAAAGAGTTACTTGTGCTAAGCACCAAATGCCACATTAATGGCTTTAGTTCCAGCGTTTTTGTAAGGTACTAGAAATCTCTTTGGGCCACAGTTGACAGCTGTGCCCCTTCTTTTCATCGGATGTTCGTTATTTCTCTTTTCCAGAGCACCGATGTGTGGAGTCGGCCAAAATCCGAACCAAGTACCCGGACAGGGTTCCGGTGAGTGTGTATACAATGAAGCTGTGCAGACAGCAGGACCCCATCCCACAAGAACACATGCTTACTCCATTTTCTTCTAAAGCTCTGATCACACACCACTCTCTTTGCTCAGTCTGTACACATGTTCCGCTCTTCCAATAACAGGTCCTTTTAATTTCCCATATGAAAGATTTTAATCTCGCTGTCAAGATCTATGCAGGAGATATCATTTTTCCAAATCTCCAGGTATTGCTATATAAAGTCATAATACATACGTGAAGACACTAGACTGAAGCAGAACACTAATAATGTGAAAACACATTTGAAAATACTGGTTAGAGAAGGGCCAAGCATAAAAATATTGCTGTATACACTATCACTCTGTGCTTTGAAGTTACAGACTGAGATGCAGACTGCATGCCGATGTTGCAGACTGAATAATAAAGATGTGTAGGTGGTTCATTGTGTCTTAGTGCATGAACTATGTACAAGGCTAGACTCTTATTGTGTCCTGAGCTGTATATACAATATAAACGTATGTACACTATATTCACTTGTTAAACTGAAATCATGGGAAATTCACATGATTAAGATCGTGGCATCACCTTCACTGGCTAGAACAATGTCAAGATCTCAGTCCTAGTGAAAACTGGATTGAAATGTGTTTCAACCTCACGCACCTTTGCCCTCATCGCATACTCATCTGAAGGAAATCCCACTAGACCAGTGAGATCGGACTGGGCTGGAAATCATCTAGTATTTCAAAAACTTGTGAAACACTCTGGTTCAGATAAGATCAGTGTTTTCTGGTGGAGATTATTATTTTTCAGTCCAGAGAGTACATTGTTATGAATACAGTGGATCTGTGCTTAGAAAGAGTTGGCGACATGGTCCTCTCTTGAGATTACCATCGATATAGTCAGTCCAGTATAGCTGAAAGTCAATTCAGGTGTGCAGTCAAGTGTACATTACAGTTGAAACGTTTCTTCTTCCCTGTGCACCTAAGAATTAAATGATACTGTGTTGTGTGGTGTTTTTCATTGGGCACAATAGAGAGTAATGAAAAGAATAATAATCCATAGATAGTGTGATCCTAAGAAAATAAGTAAGACACAGTAATCCTGTTGCATGAGGAGCCATTTGATAGTTCTGCAGGCAAGCCCTGAGACTAGGGTGGAATGCCATAGTAGCTGAGCAGTTGGGCATGGATTGTTTAAATCGGTAGGAACTACCTTGAAGAGTGAAGAGTCCAGCTGCTCCCAGCATCAAATCCATGCCATTCCCTTCACAAACAGTGGCAATCCAGCCACTGGATGGGGACTAGGCTATCAATTACTTCAGGATGAGAGCATGCAATGAGGTTCATGTTGTAATGTGGACAATATTTGGAATATAGTACAACAAACCCTTTAAGCAAATGTCATTTTCCTAATACTGATGAACTGGTACATCATTTTGAAGGGCTTCGAGTAGACCAAACTAACACTCAAGCTTCATGACACAGTGAGACAAATTGCAACGATTGGTCCTTTTGTGTGTAAATGTTGAGCCAGGGTCTCTGGGTCAGCTTTAGTTCTGCAGGCAGTTTTACACATGATTCTCTGGGTGCTGGAATTGTTAGACTTTATCTACACAGTAGGTTTGGGGCAGTATGTTAATCAAAAGAAATTTAACACCCTTTTTTAAAACGCCAAGAATTGCTTCTACATATTTGCATAGTATGCTTATTAAAAGCATGCTGTTCCAAATTCCTTCTGTGTGTGTGCGCACATATTCCAGGTGATTGTGGAGAAAGTGTCAGGCTCTCAAATCGTGGATATAGACAAGAGGAAGTACCTGGTCCCCTCCGACATCACAGTCGCCCAGTTCATGTGGATCATCAGAAAACGCATCCAGCTGCCCTCGGAGAAAGCCATCTTCCTCTTCGTAGATAAAACCGTTCCGCAGTCCAGGTGAGACGACGGCTGCTTTCCCCTCTCTGAGGAAGGGAATCTGCCTGTTTTAGTGAGGAATCTTCATTATATGTTTTTCTCCCTGTAAAATCAGTACTCAAAATCAAAAATGCATTTTGTAATACAGTGGTCTATTAAACATATCTTAAACAAGCCACACTCTGTATTCACATTCAGATCCCCATACGATGTAATTGAGAGTTTAATGCCTAAGTGCTTGAATATAGCACCTCACATCTTATTAGTGTGCATTGCCTATTTCATTATACTTACAAATGGTATGAAGATTTCTTTTTGTTTAACATACATAAAATAATGACATTATTGCACCGGCTCAATCTTTTTAAACTCAAGTAAATAATTAAGAGAGAAAATCAATACAAATTCCATTTATTTTATTTCAAAATCTCCACTGTCTTATCTTTACAAGAACAATACCATAGCTTGCCAGTGAAGAGGCACTAGGCATTTTTTATAGCCTCAGCATTAATGAGAACTAAAAGTAAACAAAAGAGCACTACACTATACCGGTCTTTTAAAATTTCCTTGAAATTAAACACTGTTTTTAGCCTCTTCATAACCTTTTGTGAGTTCAGATTATATTGACCGTCATGTCCTGGGGAAACAGGTGCTGGAGAGCTGCCCCTGTTACTGAGTCACACAGCTTTTGCGCAATACAGCCCCGGGAGCAAACATGAGTCCTGCCCTAATGCATCTTTACATTGGAAAAGATCCTTATGAGAAGGAAACAGTCTTCAATATCCTCCTCAATGCCAAGTACTGCAACTCACTGCATAACTGCTTGCCTTATTGAGCATTTAGTGAGGCTTTAGGAAACATTCCTACTCGGGGTGTGAAAGTCCATGTTGGAGTCACTGTGAGTGCTGGAGGACCCCAATTTAAGGCCTTAAGATAGGTTGGAATTTGTCAGCTGCCGGCTGTTTAATTTAATAATTTGAGTGTCATGCTATACTGAAATTAACTGCGGCTCCGCTATGGATTTTGATGAGTTATGTTTGTTTACCAGTTTGATGTTCTGCAAATGTTTTAATGTACCACTACATGCCTTAAACCAGAAATTAAGGACATCATGGCCAGAAAACCTTCAGCTCGTCCAGTCCATTCCTGTAGAGTGTCTGACGTTGTCTGCCTGTCTCCCTGCAGCTTGACGATGGGGCAGCTGTACGAGAAGGAGAAAGACGAAGACGGCTTTTTGTACGTTGCTTACAGTGGCGAGAACACCTTCGGCTTTTAGACATCTGCGCTTGGCTTGTAACACCGGCTGACACCCTCTCTCCTCCCTCACTTCCTCTGACAAGCTTGATTGTATTATAGACATATACTTGCGTTTTGGAAAAGAAAAAAAGATTGATCACTATAATAATCGTATAATGGATGCATTTGTAACTTTGTTCCTACCCCATATTGTATTTAAGCTGTATACATCGTTAGACTGTTAAATTATGTTTAAATAAGTGACTTTTCTGTTCTTATGGCTGTGAATTGTTTTGCTGGCTGTATTTTATCAGAATTGCTTGCTGTTTTTTTTGTTGTTGTTTGGAGTTCCGTTTCTTTAAAAACTATATTTCAACTAAATAAGTTTAAATATTGAAAGGTAAGGTAGCTGGATGACCTAACCAATTAAAAAACTCTCAAAACTTTCTCTTGAGATTTGTTTTTAAGAAAACTTTTAAGTGAATTCATATGCTAGCTCATTTATTTGAATATAAGGGAAAATGCAAACATGTTATGCTCATTGGTTTTTGAGGTAATATTTGCCTAATTAAATTCCTCTGTGTCAATAGTCACCAGCCCCGTGGCCAATTGTAAACAACGCCTTTAGCTGACATAAAGGTGTTCACACAACACAACAGCTTAAGTCAAAGCCCATGCAAAGGGTAACTTTTTCTGTTTAACATTTAGGCTTTTCTCATTTTTACACCTTGAGGTGCTGGGCTTGGACACCCACTGATTCACTGCTTTCTCAGTACAGGGCACCATTACTCGTGTTCTAACCATGGGGAATGAATTTGGGATTTTTAGAGCCTTCGAGCAGGTCCAGCTGCACAGGCTCTGGGGTGTCACAGCTCCGATCAGTGCAAGTAATTCCCACTGGCTTCTGAGGCTGCTGTGGAATTTAGCCCGATGGCTCATCGGGTAGTTAAGAGTTAACGGATCCCATACAATTCATCCAGCCATTTCTTGGAAGATACCAGGATATTAGCTTCAACAACATAGCCGAGCAGCGTGCTGCACAGTTCCACAACCCTTTGGGTAAAGAAGTACCTCCCGTTATTGGTTTTACACCTGTGTCCTCCAGTTGGTGTCTTAATCAATCACTCAATCAGAGTTTATCAAATGCAGCAGTAGTTGCTGGCAATGAAATTTATTTTCTAGGAGCTCACGGGTGGTGGTGGTGGTGGTGGGGGGTAAAAATAACAAAATTAAGGTCACAAAAATAGATGATAATGCAATAGAAATTGAATAAAATAAATTCAGACAAAACTCAATATAAATAGAGCTGCTATGTGTATGCAATATATCATGTCCAAGTGTCCAGTTTGCTGAAAACTATATGTCCATTTAGCCATTACGGGTGATTTGCTGAAGGAGCTGCAGGCTGGCTATTTAGCAGTCTTATTGCCTGGAGTTAGAAGCTGTTCTGTAATCTCTCTCACTGTCCATTCTGAAGAAGTCCACTGTGTTATTGAGGAGTATGAACACAGTAAACCCTTGCTTTAATGGACTTTGGATTTAATGGACCAAAACTATTAAAAGGGGGTTTTGGTGATAAAAGGGACAATATCAGACAACCCCCTACAAGACAGGATAATGTCCATTAAAGTATCAATTATTTTTGCCAAAAAAATACCACCACATTAATCCCTGGAAAAGACTTGAGAAAGAAGTTTTTGGAGTTGGTGGTGGTGGGGACTGAAGACACGAAGAAGACAAATGACACGACGTAAGAGGCCACGAACGTGGTAAAGTCTGCGGAATGGCAAGTTTAAATCTGCCGTCATTAATGTGCTCAGGGCAGTTCAGTCTGTCACTGGAGGATGGCTGGAGAAAACTGTGTTGAAAGGTTCAAAATCAATATCACAAAACCCATACAGAAGGTACTGTAGGCAAGGATGATGCAACTGAAGATGATGTGGTCAGATTCAGTAAACATATATATGATTTATTTTCTCATATATATAAGTATGTTTTGTGGGCTTGGAATATCTCATTGGTAATTTAACAGCCAGCAATACTGGACCCCAGTTTCCCCCTATTAGTCTGGCAAAGTGAGTGTACTCTGTACTTGTAGCAGGTCCCCTTGCAGTCTTTATATTTTACTTACATTGTGCACATGAAACCTCTGCATCTTCCTAGTCGAGCACAACATTTTAAAGGACTTTAACGTTCAGTAGCAGTGAACAATTTTGATTTGATAAGATATGTAGTACATACTACAGGATATTAGTTTCTTCTGGCAATATTTAAAAAAAAAAACACTTTTTCCCCTCTCCATTGTGTTGCTTTGATTCTAGGGCTGGGAGCGAGGGGAAGAGAGATTGTGAATAGAGTGTCCTTTGTCTGTTGGAATGATAACTCCTGTCAACATTCCAGCTTCAATAACAGCCCTACACACACTGTCTCCTTTTCCTCCCATTCCACGGGCACTCGGGATACAGTTACTGGAGATCTCCCTTCTTCTGGGTGCTGTAATTGGGCTAGGGAGGTCTGAAGAAGCTGTTGTTTGGTTTCCCTGGAGCCATGAAAGGTAATGTCTTTTAGAGACACTTTCAGTTTCCCTACTTTTCATCTGTCAGAGGGATCCCATTTTTCTGACATGTGGACAGCCATTAGAAGATAAGAATAGTGACAAATGAATGGAGGTCATTCTGCCCATCTAGCCCTTTTGCTTATTAATCCAAGCATCCCCTCCAGATGCTAGGTTAGTAAGCGTACTGGCTTCAGCAGCATAGCCTTATTCCCACAATACTTTGGGTACAGAATCGCCACCTGTTCCCAGTTGTAAACGCACTTTCATGTGGTTTCCATGTCTGCCCTCTGGAGTTTCACTGTTCTTCTTTAAAGAATTCTGCTGAGTTGACTTTGTCCACCTTGAGGATTCAGGAAGATTTCGACGTATCAAAAAAAGCCAGAAAAAAAAACTGCACTGTTAAGCAGAGTTACCTCAGACTGGAGTCAGGTCAGTTGTAAGACCACAGCGTCTCCTACTCTATGTCAGTGGTCTAGACGTCAACCACAGTACAGCCAGTAAACTTGTTCACAGCCGAGTGTGAACAGAAGCATGAGTTTGTGTCACATGGGATGTTCCACTGCATATCAATGATAATCCAACCAGTAAGCAGAAGAGAAACTTTTCTCTCTCAAACTTTGGGAAAACGATCTGGAAATGATTTAAATCAAGGTTGAAAAAATCCTGACCTGCGTGTCACGTCGGTCCGTACATCCACGACCAGGAAGCTGCGGATCCTGGCGAGTGTTGTGACAGGCCCAGTCTGTCCTGAAAGAGGGAACGCGAGGCAGGGCGAAGCCATCTCTCCCCTCCCCCCCGCTGGGATGACAGGCCAGCACGGTGCTGGGACAGTTCTGAGCCTGATTGTGTTTAGGCAGGAAGAGCACTTGGAAATCACAGACCGGGCTCTGGGCTAATGGACAGCCCTGAAGGATTCAAACATTCCCGGGCAGACAGGAAGGGAAAGAAAAAAGTAAGAATGAAAAAGTTCCATTTTATTCTGTAAAATTAAAAAAAGAAAATCCACAATACTGTATGAGTAAGAACAACAGTTTTGCACACAGTATTCAGTTATGTACATATAAGAAACTAGGAAGTTACACTTCGGGTGCTTAACCGGATACACAGACTGACTGGGGAGAACACTTGCTTCTAGGCTGCAGGGTGCATGATGGTAGATCTGTTATCTTCCCTACTGTTGTGCAACTACAGGGCCAAAAGTTCTGCATTTCTGAAAGATGAGCACTAAACCTAAAACAATCTTGAAAACCAATTCCTCTTATTCATTTGCTAATGCCTTTGCTGCTGTTGGCACAAGGTTTGACATAAATACATGTGTGGGTCTGTACTGGGAGCTGGTAGCGAGAGGGACTGGGGAGAATGGAAGCACTTGGTTCTGGGACAGCCGAGTGAGCAGATCCCTGCGTCGTTCCCAGCTCTATCCTCCGGATCCGACTGCTTCCCTCCGGTGTTCTCTCTGGTATGCCACAGCTGTGGCTGTGTGGCGCTTTCCCGGGATTCGGATTCGGAAGGTCTCTCACTCAAACTGCAGTAGCTCCCGGGGACTGCGAATCCAGTCTGGAAAGGCCTGTGCACGGAGATCATCCCAGGCTCGCTGGTACTCACAGGCAGCCTGCTTATAGTCCCAGTAAGTCTTCAGCTCCTTTCCCCTGGCAAACATCAATGCAGACAATGGTATAGGAGAGAGAACATTGGAGCCCGAGGATTACAAAAGAGGGATTAAAAGTGGAGCTGACATTGTGCAAACAGCTTCCCGATCCTTCTCACGTCCCAGCAGTAAGGATCACACTCTTGTTTCCTCTAATAGTGCCTGTCTGCCCCATTCCTGCCTGCCTATCCCCCTGTACTCCAGCTCGCCCTGAATCCTGAATCCCCTGCCTCTCACCCCTGGGTAATAACACGTGACACGTTCCTTACACGTACACACACTATCGTCGTTAAAATTTAAGATGATTTTCTACATAAAATGGTTTATGTACACCTCCTAAAATATGGTGGTAAAATAGTTTTGTAAATTGCATTATTTTGCATACAGCTCTGAAGGGATCCGCTATTTTAAGGTTTTTCAGTTATTTAATTTGAATATTTGCAGTCTGTGCCTCTGTACGATAGCTTGCTTTACTGTAGATTGTTTTGAATAAAGGTGTCCCATCCCCCCCCTCATCTGATTCATCTTTTATTCTTGGGCTGTACTGAGAAATGTTGTGTTCTTCATTTTCTTCTTTCCCAAGAAAATTTCCTCCCTCTGTCCTCCGGCAGTTTTAATTTCCGCTTTGCAAAAGGAAGACTTAGAGACACCTCAGGGTGCGGCACATTGCACCAGGAGAAACAGCAAATCTGGAGGATTTTGTAAATAAAAGACATCTGTGGTATTTCTCCCGTGTCTGCTGCAGGCCATGGTATTCATGTTCTGAGCCAGCCCTAATGCTCCACACCCTTCTAAGGCCCTCTCATCGCTCTGGGGCTTTGCTGTCATTCTCTTCATGAGAGTTATCTGAGGAAGCCAACAACCTTTAGAAGCATCTGTATGGAAACAGCCCTCACTAGTTACCGGGTATGAAAAATGCTAGGTAAAGCGTCTAATTCTAATCAAGCTCAACTCAACTTCTTTCACTTTGCAGCTTGAATTAACACAGTTGCCAAAAACTAGGGCCATTTTCTGTACAGACATGAAGGAGCAGTGCACTGTGCCACACTGTTTCATCACCCACACTACCAATCTACCTGGTCACCAGTGCACATGGGGACCCACAACTCCAAGGATCATTTTTTGACTGAAACAGCATTTAACTATTCACTCTTAAATCCATTTCACATTAGAAATTACGGCCTCGACAATCTCCAATCTCCTCGACAATCTCCATTCATAACGCGACTGCTTTGAAAACTGCACAACAAGTCCTGCCTCTTTGTTTCAAATCTATGCAGGACTGCCATGTGGAAAATGCAAAGAACTGCAGCAGTCAATGACAGACTGCAAGGTTAATGCAAGAATGGGTTAGTGCACCTATTGCACCTAAAGTACCAAGGTATAAAACAGTACAAATTCTGAACAAGAAACAAAATTGGTAGAAATAATGCAGCCATAAAACTGCATATGAGGGTTCATATTACTCCTCCATTTTCTAAGAGTTTAATCAAATACAGGGTTGTGGGGGACCAGGAGCCTCTTCTGGGAAGCAACAGGTGGGAGGTGGGGTACATCATGGGGCCCATCGCAGGACAAACAGACATGAACACACACACACTCACACCTAGGGCCAGTTTTCCTAAAAGTCAATTAACCTACCAGTATGTTTTTGGAGTGTAGGGGGAAACCAGAGCACCCAGAGGAAACACACAAGAACATGCAGAGATCACACGAACCAAACACAGACAGCACCCCAGGGCCCGAACCCCGGGCCCCAGCACTGCGAGGCAGTGAGGCTAACCCCTGTGCCACCATGCCACCCAGGCTCCCACTATGCACTCCCCTATTTTAAGTCAGACTACCAGTCTAGGCTGAATGTGTTTAAATGGAGAGATATTCAGAAATCATTTTAAAAAGCATGAAGCCACCACTGCTGATAAGGGAGACACCCATTCCAGTGAGGGGCTGATTAAAAAGGAGAAAGACCTCACACAGAAGTCTGCATCTCCAAGATGCTTTAATGGGCCGTAATTAATATTTAATGCTGCACTCCCCGGCCAAAGGTATTAAGAAAACGATATAGATTGTCTTTAAACTGGACATAGATCTAGAGCTGGTTGCTCGTGTGTGGCTGCCTGAGGGTCTCTCACTGAGCCTGGCAGATATTATCACAGCGTTCAAGGCAGCGCCACATGACTAGTACTACCAAAACAGACCTCTCCATTTTTCTCCTGTGGAGATCCCCGCCAAAACCGTGCCAGTATTGAATTCCATGTGGGATTCAAGGACAAGGATAAGGACTGCACCACAATCTATTAAGTCAGGTGTCTGGTTACAACGTAAAGGCTCTCTGATCCAACAGCTTGGCTGACTTATTATTTGAGTAAACTAGAGTGCTGCTGTAATAGAGAGATACTGAAGGCGTTTGTGTTTCTTACAATATTTGACACGCGTAATCTTGAAAGCTGACAGCATGTTTGTTGATCTAAGGAGGACAGAATTAATTTTTCAGACTAGGGCCATGCATTTAATAATAATAATAATAATAATAATAATAATAATAATAATAATAATAATAATAATAATATGTGCTAATATAATAGGTGCTGATCTACCTGTAATGGGTATTTTTGAAACATGGAAGGCATTTCTTTCTAAGCTTGCAATTTTCTCTGGGGACACAACTTTCCACCTATTTCCAACATCTTAAAGAACTTTCAAGACACTACACAATCCATGTTGCCGAGTTTGGACTGGACATTCCCGAAGGATGGGTGCTGAAGATCAGACTTATGGATTCAAAGAAACACACTTGAGGCTACTGGAATCAATCCTGGTGTCTCTGCCACAACCTGCTGGAAGTCCCTGCTGCTGAATGTTGTCTGTTAGAAGTGTGAAGGCAACATTTTCTACTGCTCCCAGCATCTGGGTGAGCACACCTCTGTGTACGGGTCTTTTCACACATGCAGTCAGCTCTTTGTCCCACCTGTGGCTGGCTAACAATACTTCAAAGTATCCGTGGCATGCAAATCTGTAAAAACAAGTACATGAGCTAACTCTTGGCACGCCTCTTCTGAAAGGTTGCTGACCCCTGGTTTAGAGTAAGGAGGGAACCAAATATTGGGAAACACAACTGGAGAACCGTGTGACCTGCCCTGCCGGGAGAGGGAAAGGCGAAGGGTCGCTCACATTCATTTATATATGGTCATGTTAACAGCAAAAGCAGCCAAATCCTGGCTCAAACCTCCACCTCTGGCCTCCCTCCAGGTGAGTCAGGCACATTGAACACAGTCGTAGTTAGAGGCTTTTTTCCCTCTCACTGGACTTTTAATTGCATAAATGGTCATTTTTCTTTTTGTGCACTGATGGTCCAAATTTCAAGGCCTTGACTAATTGGTTGTTAAAGATCGCTTGGCCCTTTGCTAAGGGCAGGGGTGTCTATGAGTTTGGCCTCCTTCAATTCATTAAGGGAAGACATTTTCTGACTCCTGCACCTGATTTGCTGTGTCGTGGGGCTGCCGATTCCAGAACTGGGCCTAGATTTACTCAGGTGAGTGCGGCACTTAGGAACCAAGATAGTAACTTGAGGAAGGAAGATTTTCGTTCCACAGTTTACCGATGTGAGCAAAGAAAGATATTTGTGTTTGAGGCTGGTGACAGATTAACAGAGAGGTTACAGAGATTACTGCAGCTCTCTTTCCAAACAAGGGTGGGAGACTGCAGGGTGATGGAGAGTGGCCATCTGCTCCTAAACTGCTTCCTGGCAAACAGTTGGGCCTTGAGTCAATCCCAGGCAACATCTGTGTGGCACCGAACATGACCAACACAGCACACAGAAGTGTCCCTGAAGTTTATAGCACCGATCTCTTCTAATTAATCATAATCTTCCGACACCTGGACGAGAATAACTGCTGCTGCCTTCAAATAGGCTTAACCATTAATCCATCCATCTTCTGTCCCTCCATGTGGAGTCTTACAGAAGAGTTTACATGCAGTGGAGGAACTCTGCATGTTCAAGCAGCTTTCTTGACCACAGCTTCCACTGCCTAAGTACCTGAATGAGAGCATGTTTGTTCAATGCAGTACAATCTCTGTAAAGAACTCCTAGTTACTCTGCAACTCAACAACAACACAGGGGTGGCGCTGTGGATAGCACTGCTGCCTCACATCACTGGGGTTTAGTTCTGGGCTTGTGGTGCTGTCTGTGTGGAGTTGATATAGTCTCCCAGTGTTTGCATGGGTTTCCCCTGGGTGCTCTGGTTTCCTCCCACAGTCCAAGGACATACTGGTAGACTAATTGCCTTCTGGGAAAATGGGCCCTGCTTTGAGTGTGTGCATGTTCGTGTCTATCTGCCCTGCGATGGACTGGTGTCCCATCCAGGGTGTACCCTGCCTTGCGCCCACCCTTGCCAGGACAGGCTCTGGCTCCCCAGTGGCACTGAACTGGAAAAAGTGGACAGGAAACGGGTGGTGGATGACCACAACAGAGGTTATGATTTGGAGGAGGTCTTATTCTGAAGATCGCAAATGAGCTTCCAAGACACCAAAAATATCAGGCTTCCACTTCGCGTCTGCTTTTCGGGAAGGACGGGAGACCGGCTCAACCACTCCAGACTGGACAACTGGCGGGTGGCTCTTCCCCTCACCTCCCACGACACCAGCTGGCGGCAGCGCTCTGTCCCCCTGGGACCCTGAGCTGCACACTCCTCTCCTGCACCACGGCCCACCAGGCCCATGGCCTGCCCCAGGCACAAAGGGCCTTTGAGCCACACAGGGCTCCTTGTGTTACAGATCTGTGAAACACAGCACAACAGGGCGTTTGTTCCACCAACAGAGGCAACAATTTTAAGTCACCTTCAGACCTGTATTTGGTTTCTTTATGGGGGGGGGGCGGTGAAGGAGCGTGTCTTTTAGGACTGAGTGATCAAGAGGCAGGGGGCCCCAGCAGCAAGGAAAACAACCACGAGGTGACAGGCCAGCCGCCCCACCTGCTCAGAGCTCAGCACCGGGGGTACCCTCACAGCGATGCCAGCGGACACATTTTACTTAAATAGGAGAAGTCAGGTTCATTACATTACTGAGTTGAAATGTTGTGGAAATTTCCTGGTTTTCCCATATTTCCACATGTTTTGCATAAGCATCTGTGTCTGGCCCTGTGTGAGGGCACACACTCAAGCTCCCAGGTGCTGCTCTGTTTGGCATTTTGCTGCAGCTCCATGAACGCTGTGTCAGGACGGCTCAGTCAGCTCAGCAACACAGTGCTCCGGATCGTGCACCCCGGATCCTGGAAAGACAAGGTCTCTCTGGCCCAAACCAAGAACTGCTTCTTCTGGCCAGATGGGCATCTAGGATTTTGAGGTAAGCAACTACAGAAAAAGCTTTCCAAGCAGCAGAGCACGTTACTTTTGCAGCGTCACGCAAGGTTTGAAACACACCCACAGCTCTGTTCTAATTTACCATGGACCAAGTTACCATTTACACACTGAAAAACACCTCTGCATCTCCACCTGTCCTGCAGGACATTCCTCCATTACCTGCTGTTTTTTTTTCCACCACAGAGTGGAAAGAGTTACAAATAGGAAAGGCTGAAACTATCCAGCGAGGTTCTGGCAAGGGACAGAGCACATGCTGCCTTAATATTAGAAAGGAAATAAAGCAATGTGCACAGGATCTGTACTGGGGGCTGCAGCAGGCTAGTGAGTGGGCAGTGTGCAGTCGAGGGTGATTCATTGTCCACATTCCCACCTGTCCGTCTTTGGGTGCAGAGCTTGTTTTTAGTGAAATACTAAAATATGCCTGTCAATCAGCTGCCAGCTGGGAGTGTTAAAAAGGGCCTGATCTTAGGAAGAAGAGAGCTGTTTCCGGTAGTGAAAATTACAGGGGCGCACTCACCTTAATGAGTCTGGGAGTTGGCTCTCTGGGGTGGCTGAGACAAGAGACTTGAAGGCACGGAAGAGCTCAGCCTTGCATATTAATGACCTGCGGGTCATAAGGGGAGATGGAAGGTTAAAGGTCACATAGGTATCGCTGCATCAAGGGACAGCAGTTGTGTTGGTGCGGCCTGGCGATGAATCTCAAGGGAGTTCATCCATGGCCACAGTTGAGAGGGCTCACACAGAGACCCTTTCTTGTTAGATATGAGCAGCCCTGACACGGAGCACAGAGAACAAAGCACAAAGCAGAGCAGACACAAACCCAGCAGTATCTGGTACACCAGTTTCAGGAATACTGACATCAACAGTCATGAATGCCGATGTCAGCAGCACTGGGAAAACTGAACAAAGAGTCAGTAGGTAGCTGTATTTCAGAATAAGAGCCTGGAATGTAACCAATGCTGTTCAGGATTATGGATTATGTAAACCATAAATGGTTTGATCTAATGCCTAATACAACATACAGCACACACTTACACCTTGGAACACAAATATAAGAATTCAATTTGAGGCATTTACTTAATATTAGCCTTACCCTGAAACCAGCCCATGATACTAACTGCAGGACAAAACCAACCTGCCAAAATTTGGATAATAAGGCCACTGCTGTTTTCCAAAGGGCGTACTGAATTTAAGAGCCTTAAATATCTGCTTCTGCCCAAGGTGAATCTTTTTTAAATATAGTAAAAAAAAACTGTATATCTGCCTCCTGGCAGAAGTGGGGCAGTTAAAAATATTTCTTTTTGGTTTTATAGCACCAGACAAAATGCGTTAGCTTGAGAAGCCCCCTGGGTGTTCTGCATGGTGCCTGAGGAGACACATTCTTTCTCCTTCCTGTTCTGCCTACTGGTATTAAATATGCATTGGAAGGATATTCCATTAGCTCAAGGAACATTGATTTAATTCCATTAGCCCCATCAGTAAAAAAGGCATGATATTTGCAGCTATAAATATCAGTCAGTGGGAGTGGCTGTTCCCCTGTGCCTGGAAGTGCAGTGGGCAACAGTGTGCATACGGGCAGTTTACCTGGCTTGTGCACTGCCCAGGGCCTTCTTGGTAACACCCTGCTTATAGCCGTTTGCAGTGACATCTAGTGGATGATCCGAGACATTGCACCAACTGATAGCTGAAACCATAGGGAAAACAGCACCTTTGTATTCAATGTTTTCCTTAGTCTTCCTAATTCTAGTAATTGTAACAAAAGTTTTACACATAATATTGGCTGTATTACAGTGCTGAATAAAGAAATGACCTACACAACTTCAGACTTTCTTGGTTTACATGGCATGATGTCAAAATACTCTGAAGACAGAGCTTTATGTACATGCAGACAGGAAAAAAGTCCCTCAGTTGTTTGCTCCAGGTTATTGCTCCTTTTTATAAACTAGGAGCAAATGCTAAACATTTATAATCAACTAACTATGTTGTCATTATATTTTTTAGAAATAGGAATAAAACCCCCAGAAATGAGTAAAAAGAAACAGACAACAACAGGAGGAATACCTGCTCCACAGGCGGACACCCTTCCTTTGCGAGGGTCATGGCTTCTCTCCAGCTGGCCGCGACTGTGAGGGAACTCTAGGCTGGCCTGCTGCAGCTCTGGAGCCTGCACTGAGAAGCCAGCAGGCAGGAGAGCTACATGAGCACACCTGCACAGAGAGAGACTGGGGTCAGGACAGAGAGAGAGACTGGGGACAGCACAGAGAGAGACTGGGGTCAGGACAGCACAGAGAGAGACTGGGGTCAGGACAGCACAGAGAGAGACTGGGGTCAGGACACAGAGAGAGACTGGGGTCAGGACACAGAGAGAGACTGGGGTCAGGACACAGAGAGAGACTGGGGACAGCACAGAGAGAGACTGGGGTCAAGACTGAGAGAGAGAGACTGGGGACAGCACAGGACAGAGAGAGACTGGGGTCAGACCAGGGCAGAGAGAGAGAGACTGGGGTCAGGATAGTGTGTTGAGTCATGTAAAGTCCTCTATACAATAAGACAGTGCTACACTGTGGGAGACAATTAAATTCAAGATGCTTCATTGGCATGA